GAGATACTAAGTCAGTATTTTGAGATACTAAGTCAGTATTTTGAGATACTAAGTCAGTATTTTAAGGATTTAAGTCATTATTTTGAGATACTAAGTCATTATTTTAAGGATTGAAGTCATTATTTTAAGGATTTAAGTCATTATTTTGAGATACCAAGTCATTATTTTGAGATACCAAGTCATTATTTTGAGATACTAAGTCATTATTTTGAGATATTAAGTCATTATTTTGAAATATTAAGTCATTATTTTTAGATACTAAGTCATTATTTTGAGATACTAAGTCATTATTTTGAGATACTAAGTCATTATTTTTAAGTCATTATTTTGAGATACTAAGTCATTATTTTAAGGATTTAAGTCTTTATTTAGAGATAGTATCTCTAAATAAAGACTTAGTGATACTAAGTCTTTATTTTGAGATACTAAGTCAGTATTTTAAGGATTTAAGTCATTATTTTGAGATACTAAGTCATTATTTTTAAGTCATTATTTTGAGATACTAAGTCATTATTTTGAGATACTAAGTCATTATTTTGAGATACTAAGTCATTATTTTAAGGATTTAAGTCATTATTTTGAGATACTAAGTCATTATTTTTAGATACTAAGTCATTATTTTAAGGATTTAAGTCATTATTTTAAGGATTTAAGTCATTATTTTGAGATACTAAGTCATTATTTTGAGATACCAAGTCATTATTTTTAGATACTAAGTCATTATTTTTAGATACCAAGTCATTATTTTAAGGATTTAAGTCATTATTTTGAGATACCAAGTCATTATTTTTAGATACCAAGTCATTATTTTAAGGATTTAAGTCATTATTTTGAGATACTAAGTCATTATTTTGCGATACTCAAGTCAATCCTTCAGAATCTTTCCTTCTTCATCAGAACTGTTTGTACTCACTGGGGTCGTTGAGCTCGTGCCGCTGTGCCGCCGTCGCCCTCTTCCCTTTGTGGGCCGGGTGGTTCCTGGCTCCGTAGCAGCTGGACGTCCCGGCTAACAGAGGCGTCCTGCCGTTGCTCAGAGGCAGCAGGGTCCCCCTGGTGCTTATCATCCGTACGGGCAGAGGCTCCCCGCGGGGCCCCCTCATGGTCGCCGCCGGTTTGTAGAAGTTCTGCTGCTGCGGGCCGTTGGGTCCGGGGCACGGCTGGGACCGGATGGGGGGCCGGGGGGTCGGGGACGTCAGCGCGGCCGGCTGACACGGCGGCAGCAGAGCCGACCCGGTGCCACAGATCTGACACTTGCTGACGTCCTCGCTCGGCTTGTTGCACTTCAAGCACACCGTGTGGTAGACGGTCGGCCGCAGAGGCTGCCGATGAAGAAACTCCCGTTAACAAGCAGCTGACGAACAACGTCGGACACATTATCCCCTTATAAACGCCTTATGGATAACATGTACATTTAGGAATCCAAGACTAACAGAACATCATCTTTATCTTGTTTGTAGATGTTTTTGTGATCTTTTAGCTCTGTTTTGGTCTCCGACGACTCCTAAAAATAATATCTGACCAAATGCTTTCTGGGTAATGTAGTCCTTAGGCTCTTACCTCTGCTGCTTTGACCTGCGAGGGGAAAGTACAGCAGTCCTCCAACGGCTTCCTCTTCTGCTGGATGCGACGCTTCACGTTCAGCGTCTCCTCTTCTGAAAGATCTAACCACAAAACAATCAACTTATGGATCTGATTGATCATTACCTTACAGAAAACTACAGAACACCATCAACACCACCAGATGATTTAGGCAGCAATCAGTGCAGGTGAAAGAAGCAAGGAACAGCGTGATATAGTTCATAAGAATAATAAACATTAATGGAACTTTTTCAAAGATCTGATGAGCGATATTTGCCTTTGTTTAACCCTCTGAAGCCTGAAACCGGCCGGCGGGTTCTTTAAACAATCACCAAAACTACAGCGTTTATCAGCCAGAAACTGTAAAAACTGTCATAATCATCAGATTTTTATCTTTACGACGGTCCTTGAACACATCCGGTGTGAAACGTTACATTGTGAGCTCCTCAGTGAAACTATGAAGTCATGATTGATTCATCTGAGACCAACAGTCATGTGACAACAAGGAGGAGACACTTTGACTGAACTACAGGAAGTGAACACAGAGAGAGAGGAGAGGCTGGAATCACGTGAATAGTTTTATATATAAACAGCATGAGGAGCCTCCATTTGTTCCCAACATTGGTAACACTTGTGGACAATTTGAGAAATGTTGGATTTATAGATTCCAGTGTTTTACAATTTTTGTAAAACAAATTATCCAAGAAATTTAGATGTTGATGTTAAAACTCACTGCTGATCATTGAGGGCACGGCAGGTAAACTTATTCATATTATTATCATTGTGTTATATTATCTGGACGGGCAGAGGAGACAGTTCAGAGAGATTTTAGTGAGTAAATCAAACTGATGTTATTTTGAACACAAGGACGCTCTGTGTTGTTTTAATCTCTCTCTGAGCGTCCAAGAATTATTTTACTCACCTTTTGTATCTTCCAAAACTAAAAATAAATGGATGATGCATTTGGGGGAAACGCTTCCCACCAAGGTCACCTATATTTGATATCTTATCTCCGTGCTCGGTCAGAGAGCGAGTGTTTCATAAGCTTCTCCTCCCTCAGCGAGGCGCTTTGAGGATTAGATGTGGGAGGCCTGAGATCTCCTCCTCGTCTGGCAGGAGCAGCGAGGAGGAGATCGGCCAGACCGGACCGGCACACGCACGCACACACCAGTGTGTTCTGCCCAGCTAGAGGAACACAGTGTGCCCGTCGACATTCAGCAGCAGCTTCTCTTCAAAGAACAGTTTGAGAATGACTTTAAATAAATGAGTCTCCTCTGTGTGTGTGTGTGTGTGTGTGTGTGTGTGTGTGTGTGTGTGTGAGAGAGAGAGAGAGAGCTGTCGACTCTACCTGAGATCTCTGGACAGGTGAGGACGATGCTGTCCACTTCTACTGCTTGTTGGGTGGTGAAGTCTTTTCTGCAGGAGAGAGAAAAAGACAATGTGGTCAGTGAAAAATAGACCTTTTGTTATTTTAAAATAGAAGAAAATGACTCTACTTCTCTCTTGATTTATTACCTCAGTAAACATTGTAAACATGAGTTTATGGTCTCAATCTCTAGTTTCAAGTCTTCTTCAATACAGCATGATGTTCATTTAGTACATTATGGTCCATTTAGAGTCAAACAGACCATAAAGCAGGGGATGCTTTAGGGCGGGGCTACACGCTGATTGGCAGGTCTCTACCAGAGACGTATACGGCGTCTCTACGTCACTCTAAAACTAAAACCTCCTTAAACAGATGATGACTTTAGGTATGAATCAAACAAACAGGAGGAACTAGTGCATTTGTTGGGGACTGTTGTGGTGCTCTAGTGAGTGTTTGTGGCAGCAGGACGGTTTGGACTGGATTTAACATGTCAAGCTGTTGTTACTGTACAAACCACAGCAGCAACATAGCTCTGCTAATGTGGCATCAGTCAGTGTTCGTCAGACTCATTCATGATTCATCATGAGTGTGTCAGCAGCACAAACACCAGAGATAAACGTGAGGTGAGATCCAGTGACTTACCTCTCCTTCAGATCAAGGCTGCTTGAAGATACAAATCAAAAGACACAAACGTCTCACTGATGCAACTCAATCAAAGAGATTCTGTTCTTTACACCACATCTACTCAGAGGATGAAGCCAGAGATGGGTTTAAATCCCTCTCCTCTACATCACTGCCCTCCAGAAGAACAAACTGAGGATGAAGTTAAGGTTTACACGTCATGTTCCTGTATCCAGTATCTGTTCTCCACTGAGGGCCATTTATACAATCTAATGAGAGAAAGAAACTGATTTTTAAAAATGTTTAATGAAGTTGACGACAACTGCAAGAAAATAACATTTTGATTCAAACTTATAAAAAAGATCAAAGTATTTATTCGCTTCGTTTCTTCTTATTCCAGCCTGAGAATCTTCATGTTCTCAAGTTCCCTCCAGCAGTATACTTCCCGTTTACTTCCTGCCACATGATGGGAAGTGTAGTTCATAAACGTAACGTCTGCGTCTCACCTTTGGACCGGTTTGCGGACTGCAGAGGGCATCTGAGCGTGCTGAAAGTGTCGCCCCTGGAGGACGATTCCCGGCGACGGCGCCGGCGCCGGACTGATGATGAAATAGTTTGTTCTGTTCAGGACGATGGGGGGGGACGATGCTACTGAGAGGGGGACGTCGCTGCAGGAGGGGGAGTCAAAGGAGGGAGGCCAAAGGGGGGGGGGGGGGGGAGTCAAAGGGATGCAAAACAAACGTAAATATTAAGAAATCATGAGAACACAGAATATGAACATAACTTAAACGTTATTTAATCAGATCTATAATGTTTAGTTGATCTAAAAAAGGTTTATTTTACCTTTTAAATCTCTTTTTAAAAAGAGTGTTTTCTTTGTTATTTTATTCCATTCATTATTTACTCATTCGTTACCTTATGAATACATTATTTATCTTTTACTTTATTAGATTGATGGCCGGTAAAGCACTTTAATTTATACCTTTTTTAAAAATTGTATTTATTTAACTATTTGTCCGTAGACGTTCCCGTCACTGAGTTCACAGGAAACTATGTGATAAACAAACACAATTAGAATTAAGATTTATCATCTGTATTTGTTTTATGTTTCTATAAAATACTTCCAGTAAAAAAAAACAAAAAAAAATGACATAAAACTGGTGTAGAAAGTAATAAAACTAATTCTCAGGTTAAAAAATAAATTAAAAATCTACATTAAAAAGAAAGAGACTTGAATCTGATTTATTATTATTTTAAATAAATAGCAACAAGTGAAGACAAACATGATTCTTCTCAAAGAACTGAACTCGTTTATTACATATTTATGACTTGTTTTAAATGTGTTTTCATTAATAATCACATTCCAGACTTCATATGAATATAAATATATATATGAATATAATACATATAGTAGAGTACCTGAGTCTTTTGGGCGCCAGCTTGTTCAGAGGCCTCATGTGATTATTTGGCCGGTTTTCATAAGTTCTCAACGGATCAGAAGAAGTGAAGTGTCTCAGAGCAGGAGACTGAGGAGACACACACACACAGAGAAACAAAGACACACACACACACACACATACAGAAACAAAGACACACACACACATACAGAAACAAAGACACACACACATACAGAAACAAAGACACACACACACACACACACACACACAGAAACAAAGACACACACACACACAGACACACACAAAATAAACATTAAGACAATTATTTTTTGTATTCCAAGTTTTCTGAAATGTTGTGTTTAAATATGCAAATGAGGCATTATGTAATGGTAACTTTTGGTGAATTTAGGAGAAATCAACAGACGTAAATAGAACTGAACTAAGCATGAAGAGAAGTTACCAGAACATGTTTATTAGATACTTTACTTCCTCATAGTTTTACATCTGACAAAATCTAGTGTGAATGATCCTTTACAGGACAATCAGAGGCCAAGAGGCCACGCCCACTCACAACAACAACAACAACAACAACAACACCACCACCAAGCAGCAGCCCTGGAGGCCTCCCAGAGCACCCCAGCAGTGTTGGCTCATGGACTGCCGGGGCCCTTCGGGGGCCGTCCTTCTGTCTGCAGGACCAATCAGAGAGCTAAGCTGGGAGACCACATGACCAGCGGTGAGAGTCAGAAAACAAGAGGAGGAAGAGGGAAGAGGAAAAGATAAAGAAGAAGAAGACAAAGATGAAGAAAATGATGATGAAGAAGAAGATGACGAAGACGTAGACAAAGGGGACTAAGAAGAAGACCAAGAAAAAGAAGAAGAGGAAGACAAAGAAGAAGAAAAATAAGACAGAAAAAAGAAGCAGACGACGAATAAGACGAAGAAGAGTTCAGGGAGGAGCTTTACCTTCTCCTCGGGGGAGCTGGGCTGCTGCCGGTCCATCTCCTCCATGCTCACCACGCTCACACTGAGGACACACAAACAACACACATGTGTTCAGACTACTGTGTGTGTGGGTACACTCTATTTTAATCTGTGTCTACATCTGTGTGTCTGTGTGCATCGGTAGATTCTACGGTTTGACCGATGGTATTTAAACTGCTTCATCAGAGAAAGCACACCTGAGCTGCTCACTACACACTTTTACATTCAATTTATTAAAAACTATTTATTTTGATAATCTATTACTTGTTTCATTTATTTATCAAGTAAAAACTACAATTTATTTCTGGTTCCAGATTCTCATAATTTTAAGTTTTATATTTATATATCATATAACCTAACTGCATAGATTAAGAATTGATTGAAATATTTTAATAATATAATTAATAAAAGTGTCATTAGCTGTAACTCTAGTATCTTAAAATTAAGAATAAATGTGCAAAAAAAAAAGCATTTAAATAGTTAAGAAGGTGCAAAGAAAGTTGCATTTCGCTGCAGCTTTCTTTAATAGTTTTACGAGGAGGAGGAAGCTCTTCTGTCCCGATGATCAATATCTACTGTCAGGGTTTACATGCACATGTGTTTTATAGTGGGGCTGCTGCACTAACAGGAGCGCTGAGTAGTTCATCATCATGGGGGGTGCTTACTCATGGTTGCTCTCTTCTTCACCGTCACCAGAGAGAGAGAAGCTCCAGTTGTTGTGCTTGTAGCCTCCGTCTCTTCTGGTCTCTGATCGATCCAGAGCTTCAATAAGACGATAAAAACCAGAGTCACACTCAGGACACCGAGGTCAAAACACAAGACTTTAGGTTCCTTTATAATTCTGCATCTTTCTGTAAATATTAATAAAAATACACTCATTTCGGTGAGGTTAAAGTTTGAATAAATAAAGAGAATTATTACAACACAGCATATTTGTGGCATGGGAGTATAGTAAAGCACAATTAGAGCAGCTGCAAATCACATTCAAGTCGATGTCAAAACACAGATTTACCCAAAACTTAAAGTCCTTTATGTAAAGCAGATTATAGGCCACATTTCCGACAACAAACAAAACTACCATAACAATGTAAAACACCTTCGTTACCAAGAGTTCACCTCCAACCCGAGTCTTTAGAATACGTCAACAAGTGAAAATGGCAACTCGATTTTAAGTTTCAGCAACCAAAAGCTGATTCCTGGTTGCCAGGTTAACGTTTATCCCTGAATATAGAAAATAATTGTCCGATCAGTTGACAGTATTAATAATAAGTTTGTCTTATTTCTTTGTCTTAAACAATTAGGATTAATCCAGGCACTGTCAAATGTCATGAATGATTTAATGCTAATAATAATAATAATAATAATAATTAAGAACTGATCTTACAGAGTTTGTCAAAATAATTAAGCTTACTTTACATATACTGTGTTTGCCCAGATTTCTTTATCTAAATGACTGTACAACAGATGTCGCTGTCCATTTCCTTTCCTTTTGTTTCCTTACATACAGTATATGTCCATAATAAAGAAAAGGCGAGACGTTAAGGTCACAGACGCAGCGACTCTAAACAAAAGAACTCTTTAACGTCTGCTGGATGTCGTTGAGGAGGAAAGTTACGTGTTTTCCCATGAGGCCCTGGCTTCCTATTTCTTCTCCAAATCAACTGAAATTTGTTAAGTGAATATCAAAAACAATGGGCAATAATAAACCACACAAAGCAGAGGACTCAAATGTGAAACTTCCTTCTTTAAAGCAAAGAAACGAAGAGACTTCTTCTTCTTACGTCTTAAACCCAGCGACCTCTCACTCGTCATCTTGTTAATGCGAGTTATCCATCTGGCTGTGAGCCCGGCAGGTACACATCAGTTAAAACCTCCATCTTGCCTTAAAAGCTGCGTCTTTTTTTTGTGTGTGCACCCACCCCCACGGCCTCCACACAAAAAGCTTCTGCTCTTCCTGTGCAGCTGCACAAGTGGATAAGCAGACGTTGAGGAGATGAGACAGAAAGAAAAACGCTGCCTGTTTTAAGTGCATCATCCATTTCAGGGGTAATTTTAAAAAATGACAAGAAGAGGTTCAGAAATCATGAATCACGTTATGATCCCAGAGTCAGTCATCTGGATCAATCCTGCAGGAGCCAAGTGAAGCCGGTTCTAATCTCCTCTCTCCAGCAAATACACAGAGTCTGGATCCAGCTCCATGAATCACAACCAAAGCTCCCGATCATGTCGGTGAGGAGGACACCGGGCTCCCCGCTGAGCTCCGGGACACTCGTTTATTAGGACCCACAGACACGGGTCATCCAAACAGACTGAAGCGAGAGGCGTTAGTGCAGCCTGAAGGAGAACTTTGACTCTCACGTGATCAAATCCAAACAGCTCACAACAACACTCAGAGGAAGAGGAACTCTTCTGTATGTCAAACATGAAGCTTATCAACCAAAACACAGGATTCCTAATGAGACCCTCTGGCAGCGGTTTCACCAAAAGCTGCAACATCAGATCATTTCCTCTCCTTTTTGACACCAACAATGAACCGCAACCTCAACGGTTCGAGTCCATCTCCACATTATTGCTATCCAACAACAGCATTAAATACCCTGAAAGTATCACAGAAAGCAGACATGTTTCGCTTATTAAAGCTCACTAAACAAGCAGCCCGAGCATGTCCAATCCCTGAATGACTCCTAAATGGATCTGCATGATTTGCATGTGAATCATTTGGGAAACTTGACACTGACAACACATCTGCATATCGCTCCTGTGCAACGAGACCCTGCCACTAAATATCTTCAATGATACGTTGTTGTTGCCAGGCAGGTTTCCTTTTAAACAACGCTGGATGTTGAAGCTCGAATATGAACTGAAACAAGTTTAAACTGTCAAGTAGAGAAAGTCTCGTCTCTTATTAGTCCCAAAGTTAGACTTTTACATTTAAACCTGGTTTGCTTGTTCGGCTGCTTGTGTTTAGACAACAATTAGGAACTTTAGCATCTTTTGTTACCAGATAATGACGGCATTGCTCTATATCTTTCTTGTTATTTAAACATATCCCATGGGCTGCTGTCGAGTGGTCTAAAATATGAAGACCGTTGTCTTTTTCTAACCACTTCTCCTTGATCTCAATGAGAAACATCGTGAGGTTGAGCATAGAGATGTGACGGAGAAATAAGGATGTTATTGACGTGCGTCGCTTTAAATGTTGCTGCCACACACATGGCATCATCTCCTTACCTTTCATCAAGGACGGTCCAGTGTATCCTTTGCTAAAGGAGATAAGAAAGGACGCATTGAAGCACCTTTTCCTTAGCAGTTAGAGAATTCAACCAGCTCTCATCATGATACTTCCTGGTCATTTCCCTTCAGATAGGAAGCTTCCTCAGCAAGAAAATACCGCAGCACAAAACCAACACCTTAGTGTGTCTCTTAATACTGTCTGACTTCCTGTCTGAGGCTCTCAGCTCAAAGCCCATTGGTTCCTACTGATGAAAGTAGCAACCAATTAAATACACATCACAAACATATATAATTTAATTCATTAAATATACAGCTGGTCACTGTAGTTTTTTATCAAACAAATAGGAGGAAATAGTGCATTTATTAGGGACTACTTTCAGCGGCGGATTAATCCACATTTGGTGCTCGAGTGAGTGTTTGACCGAGTCTGAATAAACTACAGTGTGTGCGTGTTCATGGAGATAAAGGAACAACAGTTAGATTATTAATGTGTTTTTAATGGAGATCTAAGAGATAGTTTATACATTCACTGTTGGTTTTGGTCTTTTTATGGGATTCTTTGACATGAAGAAAAATATAGAATATCTCCACACGTCTCTCTTATAGAAATAGTGGTTTAAAAAATGATTATAATTGACAAATTAGATATCGTTTTTCCTCCTTGAACAAAAGTTAACGGTACCCTAGTTCATATGGCTACATCTCTGTTCCCCTGTCCTCATGATACTGCCACTGAGCAAGGCAGTAGTGACATATTTAACCCTATCAAGCTCTTCTTCTTCTTCTTCTTCTTCTTCTTCTTCTGTCTGTGAAACTCCTCACTCAAATGTGTTTAATTATGTTTTTATATGTATTTATTTACGTTTTTAAGTGAGTGGCCTCTTAACTTAAGATGTGAACTATGAGACAAAGTGAAGACAATAACAGAAATGAGTTAAAGCATTGAAAACACACTGGGAACATTTTCTGTTTACAATTAATGATTAGCCAAGCTAATAGTCGAAACTAACACGTTAGCCTGATAGCTTGGAGGCCACTTAACGTTTTATATCGTTTATTATAAAAGTGTTTATGTATTGTAATGTGTTGTTCAAACGTCATTTGGCTAAAAAGCCGAGAAAAACAAAAAATAAAAAAGGTAGGAAAGAGGCCCGTCTCACATCCAGAACCAGCTACCGTCAGCGCTAACGGTGCTAGCTTAAAGCCACCTAGCATTAAGATGCTAACGTTAGCCGCTTTTTAGCACCACACATACATTTTTTGGACCATTTATACTGCGGACCCAGCAAAGCAGGGATCTCCGAGGACTGTGTGGTTCCGGGGGGGGGGTAAAACAAATGGCGACCGGAGCACTGGAGTGTCACATCTTACCTTCGAGAAAAAAGCTTCGATTGTGGGCCATGTTTTTATTCCATGATCCTCCTCAGATGATAGGTGGTGCTCATCGGAGACCGGATCTATGTAGCAGCTCGACTGCTGCTCCGATCACCAAAGCGGAGAAAGCTAACGCACGAACACACGTCACTGCCGGAACTTAAACTATGCCTTCAGAATAAAGGCTTTCCCCCCTTTTTTTTGCAATAAAATAGAGTAAATAAAACAATCCTTTATTAGTCCCGCAGTGGGGGAATTTACAGGATTACAGCAGCATAGTGGAGTATATATATATATATATATATATATACAGTGTAGTGCAAACAAGATACATAGTAAAAAAAACACAAGATCAAAACAAGTATAATAAATAAGTAAATAAGTAATAATAATAAAACAGTAATAATAATAATAATGAAACAGTAAAGAATATTAAATATAAAAAAGGTTAAAAAATATACAATAACTACAATAGTACATATAAATTGAGTTTTAATATTGACAATTTGTGAAATTGTACATGTGCAATTGTTCAATAAAAAAATTAGTAAAATCTAAACGCTAATCTTTAAATTATAGAATGGCAAGAGGCAGTGATGGAGGAAGTATTGTTCATATATTTTACTTCAGTAAAAGTACTTTTAAAACACTGCAAAAGCCCTTCATTGAAAAAGCTACTTCAGTAAAAGTATGTAAATATAATCTGGATAACGTGTTTTAAGTATTAAAAGTATAGAAATGTCTCCTGTGACTTTTCTACTGTTATATATTATATCATTAGAATATAATTACTCATGCGATAATGTAAAAGAGAGATTAAAACTGTTTAAATTAGTTTTGATCTAATAACTGATCATTATTTTTGTTATGGATTAATCTGCTGAGGATTTTATCCATTAATTAATGTATTGTTTGTTTTATGAAAGTAGTGAAAATAGTGAGAAATGTCATCAAAATTTCAGTCTAAAGTGACATCTTTACAATGTTTGTTTTTTCACTTGTTTTATTTTGAAGGTAAATTCCGGAAGTCCCTGTTTTAACCTCGGTGGTTTGGATGCCTGCTAACCTGCTCTGTGCATGAGCCTAGAGTATGTATGTGTGTGTATGGCAACTTTTTATTCCGACACAGACATGCACACATATGTTTTTTTATCTTCTGCAGGAATATTAATTAAATATTAAACTATAATGCCAATTATAATAAAAAAGGAAAGTAAAAAAGCTCATTATAATGTCATATTTGAGTAATTATGAGACCATGTCAAAAGATGGAAAATTTAAAAAGAGTCAAATAAACACCTTTCAATAAATGGATTTTTTCATGTAATTATAAAATATTTCTAAATCCTAATGGAACTATTTTACTTTTTATTTTGTATTTACTTATTTAACAGCAGGATCGTGTGATAATCATATATTATTAAATGAGTAATACTTTATTATAAGACAGAGATACAAATAAATGCCAAACAACAGTCTGGAGGTTAGGATCCATATTGTGCACCAGTTACATGAAGAGCCGATGATCAGAGGTAGGTGGCGATGTTCCTCATTAAAATGAATGAATAATAACCATCAGTATCATGATGTCACTGCAGACATTGTAAAACTGCTATTTTAAAACTGCTATTTTAAACTGTACACCCTAAAATGTTGTAGATTAAATACATTAAATGTATTATACTATTATCATTTGTTATGATCAGATAATTTCTTACGATGTACATATAGTCATGTCACTGTTATAAAGAGCTTTTCATTGTGTTTGTGCACAGATTAAACAGAATTAATGAGCTTTAGATGTGTAGGTAGGTCTGTTCTTGAACTTGGAGCCAGATTAGCTGTTTCCCTCTGCTTCCAGTCTTTATGCTAAGCTAAGCTAATTGCCTCCTGCTTCACACTTAACACTGACATGAGATTGCTGTCGATCCTCTCATCTAACTCTCGGAAAGAAAGAAAGGAAATAAGCGTCATTTCCCACATCGTTTAACTCAACATGTCATTACCATTAGCAACGCTGCAGCTGCATCAGAGCACAGCACAGCACAGTGTCCAGCAGTATATATATAAATATAAATATAGTTCATGATCATTCACAGTGAAATGTGCAGCGCTGCAGCTCATTAGAGTGAACTGAGTCATGGTCTCCTCCGTTAAAGCCCTGAGATGATGATCACACAGCGGTTCTTGTCTGCAGAGGCTCGAATTGATGGAGAGTTAGAGATAAAACAGGAGCGGTGGCAGCTGTTTGGTGAATGTGTGAGTGCAGGAAAAAGTCTGGGTGGTGAACCAGTGAAAACATTTAAATTATTATTCCATTTTGCCATGCAGTTTTGTGCAGACATTCACGTTCCCCAGAGGATGAATTCCAATCATTTTGATGATCCATTATCATCAACTGCAGGTCAAAATTTGCATGGTTCCTGTCGAACATCTCACAATGTTCTGCATGCATTGGAGGATAATTTGTTACAGATGTTAACGTTTCTGAGATGATTTATCCTCTTCCTTTTGCACCATCATGACGTAAACTTTATAGTCCTTTATCAAAAAAAGGAAAAATTCCTTTTCCTTCGTCTCTTCCTCGTGGCCACCAAGAGACCATCAGAGGACCGCCAGGAGACCACCAGCAGACCACCAGGAGACCATCAGGGGACCATCAGGGGACCGCCAGGAGACCACCAGCAGACCACCAGGAGACCATCAGGGGACCGCCAGGAGACCACCAGCAGACCACCAGGAGACCGCCAGGAGACCACCAGCAGACCACCAGGAGACCATCAGGGGACCGCCAGAAGACCATCAGAACACCACCAGGGGACCGCCAGCAGACCGCCAGGAGACCATCAGGGGACCGCCAGAAGACCATCAGAACACCACCAGGAGACCATCAGGGGACCATCAGGGGACCACCAGAAGACCATCAGGAGACCGCCAGGAGACCATCAGAACACCACCAGAAGACCACCAGAAGACCACCAGAAGACCATCAGGGGACTACCAGAACACCACCAGGAGATCATCAGAACACCACCAAGAGACCACCGGTTTGCAATAACTGAGAATTTTCATACTGGAGGAGATATTATTTTTCTCAAAATCTGACATGAATCCCATGAGGGATTTCTAACCAGCATCTGTTATTAAAAATAACAATCTTAGCGTCGTGTGCAGCCCGGATCTCTCACTGTTTGTGTGGCTCAAAATACAAATCAGATTTCCATTTAAAACAAATTCAATCTGATTTAAAAATGAATTTCATCCAAATCCAACTCAACATATGTTGTATCTTTGGCATCTTCACAACCTCGACTGGTATTTAAAGGGTTGTGGCTTTGAGAAATAGAAATAAACAAAACAAACCTGCAAAGTAACACAAGTTAATGCAAAACCTCACTACAAGCTGAGCCGAACCGAGCCAGGAGGAGGAGGAGGAGGAGGAGGAGGAGGAGGAGGAGGAGGAGCAGCTCAGAGCTCAGCTGTCCGGGGTTTGTTAAAGCCTCAGTCAGTTCAGCTGCTAACACAGACTGAGAGCACATGTTAAATATAGAGCAGACTCTCACTGCTGACCGGGAACAAACAACTGACTTTATTCACGAGTTTCTGTTTCTGTCCTCAGACGAAGCTTCACGCCTCCAACTGTGGCAAGAGAAGAAGAACAAGTGCAGAAGAAGAAGAAGAAGCTCAAGAGGAACGCTGGAGGAGGGAAGACTGATTTGAGAAACTGTCATGTTGTGACGGATTGTCAGTGAACTCATCAAAGAGGAACGGAGTCACTTTTTTTGGGATTGAACAGCTGTGAGACCTTTTACCTGCTGAGACCAGGTGAGACGAAAGGTGTGTGTTAGACTGTGAAGTTTCATTTCATTTAAAATGTTTAGTTACATGGTGGAAGAACAAAATATCACATATCTGATAATAAACAAATTAAAAATTCACAAATATTGTTTAAAAAAATCTATAAATTAAGGAAAACTATTGAATAAAAAACATGAATGCTTTTCACACTATTCAAATATCATAAAAAATAATATTCTCTGACATGGATGATATCAGTGCTGAGGTGATTTGTCGATTAATAGAATTTGATATTTATTAGTAATTTATTAAATGAAAACAATATCTGATAACAGCTTCTGGAATTTATTTATTTTGTTTCGTAATGATTTTTGCTGAGAAAAAACCCCTTAAGATGTGTTTTTATCAGCAGAATGTACTTGTAGTATCAAAAGTATAAGTACTGATATGCGGACAGAATTACTGCGATCAGTGTTATATTATTATAATATTGGATCGATATCACTGAGGCGTTCATTTTGAGATCCTGTAGAGAGGCTCCAAGTTAAAGCTTGAAAGACTTTATTATTTGAGTTTACATCACGCATACATGATGCATATTCATAAACAAATATGAGCTTCATCATGTTACAAACTCATTCGAAACGGGGGCGATCAATTCAAACTTTTAAACATCATTTTGTCTCAGAGGGCTTTAAAATATAAATAACATAAAACATCCACTGATCCTCAGATGTGAGGAGGAAAACCTTCTCTAAGACAGATATTAGTAAGTAAAGTCCATAAAACATGATGCAAAGTAGATATAAAGTGCGATAAGTTTAGGAGTAGTGAGTTACTGGAATGAACTGACTCAGGAATGACTCTGAGTTATGACTCCTTCATTCACAGCCCAGTAAAAGCTGGTTTCAGGAAGCCGTACACATTAGAGACCACGTTAATTTAATGGATCTTTATAGCGCGGTACTTAAGCTCTGCTCTCTGGGAGGGGGAGAACAGCTGCTTTTATGAAACGTACAAACACAGAGAGGACACGAAGCAGCAGACCAAACACAAGGAATAGACGCTTATTCTGTAGAACAACTCATAAGAGCATTTTAAAACTACTAACGTGTATTTAATGTATCAAATAAATCCATTTGATGATGCTGAACGCTGTCGTTCAGGTTTGGTTAGGATGAGGGAAACATCACGGTTTGGGTTAAAGTAAGTACTTTGTTATAATTAGGAGATCTTTGTCATCGTGGTCACAATAATAATAATTATTATAATGATAATAATCATAAGAAAAAGTAGTATTAGTGTAAAAGTAGCTCTTTTTGTCACCGTCCTACTGCAGCTCAATGGGGAAAAACAAAGATGACTGATGCTGTTGTTCTCCTTCATGAGATATTCATGTTCCCCACAGGATATATTATTATAAATACAAATATTACTTTGGTGATCCCCAGATTTTATCGTGTATTTAGTTTATGTCTTTGCAATGTGACTGGTATTTGGTGGCGTTTGATGAACACTGATAATGTGTCAAACAATCGAAAGGGTTCATCCCCTGGGGACCATGACCATAACAAAGGTGCTCTAAAGGTGGAGCTAAATAAAAGATTTTAATGTCATCGGAATCAAAATCTTGGTTTATTGTCGAGTAGGTTTTCACATTTAAGGAATTTACTTTTTTTTTTTTGGTGGCAAACATAAAACAGAATGAGAGAAAATGAAATAAAAAGTAAAAGCATGAATTGCAAAAATCAAGAAACATAAATATAGACAAGAAGAAAATGTCAATAAAAATATACAAAAATACTTTAACAAATATGTACGAGAAACATAAATATAGACTGGCAGTAAAATAGAATAAAAAAAATATAAAAAATACAACACCAATATGTAGAAGAAACACAAATATAGACGAGAAGACGAATATAATTCAAATATGACAAAAATACAACAAAAAATAATTATTCAAAATCATCGTTGTTAGGAAAATAGTTTCAGACATTTAGTAAATAACTCTGCTGAGGTTCAGTGTTTGTTTCAAAGACACAATAAGAAATCAAACCTGTGACATCTCAAAGTCAGGACAGTGTGTCTACTGTTCTGTTCTGTTCTGTTCTAGTTAAATATGGAAAATGTTCCCCTTTTGATTTACGTTCCAAACAGTAAACAGAGGCGCTCTCTGCCTCCCCCTCCTCTGTGTTATCGTACCCAGCATGCATTGCCCCGCCCTGATCTCCTGGGACCTTTCTCTCCATTAATAGCTTCTTTTTTTCCTCCACTGTTTTCATTGCAAGACATTTTCAATCCTTTTGTGAAGCTGATATGTGGAAGGGGTTTGTTTTTAACAAAATGCTCACAAACTTTAACAAACATCTTTAATTTTATGTCATTTTTACGAAGATATTTTCTTTTACTGAAGTTGAAACTTGATTTGTTTGCCTGGTCCGTCTGTCAGCAGGATATAAAGATCTAATTTATCAACAGGTTTCTGTACAATGTGGTGGGAAGCAGATCGGCTCCGAGCCAACACACCGCTGATTAGCTTCTGGTGTCGATCCAATTTAGGGATTTTCCAAACAGTTGTTACGAATCCTCAAGGGCTGTTGAAAGGGTCAGAACATCAGTTCCACTTAAAATGTCGTGTGAACTCTGTGGTTAATACCAAAGACTGAATATAAGAAGTGGACGTAGTCATGGTGCGGTCACCCATTGGTTGTGGACTGATGTGTTGAAGCCTTGAGTTTGGCAATTTTGCCGTCGCCATCTTGGAATACGGCCGTCGCCTTGTTGTTGTTGTTTTGGCAACCAGTGAACAGAAAGTGATTATATGTGGACTGAGGAGGAGTGATGTAGAGACGCCGTATATGTCTCTGGTAGAGACCTGTCAATCACCGTGTAGCCCCGCCCTAAAGCATCCCCTGCTTTATGGTCTGTTTGACTCTAAATGGACCATAATGTACTAAATGAACATCATGCTGTAGTGAAGAAGACTTGAAACTAGAGATTGAGACCATAAACTCATGTTTACAATGTTTACTGAGGTAATAAATCAAGAGAGAAGTAGAGTCATTTTCTCATAGACTTCTATACAACCAGAGGAGTCGCCCCCTGGTGGTCACTGGAGAGAATCATTGATCTTTATTGGTTACTGTAATGGTGTGTGAGTCTTCTCCTGTTGGACGGGCCAGGATTATTCCTCTCTCATGAGTTTCATGAGTCATTCCTCACGTCACTGAAGTTGCTGGTGGGCTGACCACAAACCTCTTGAGATTCATCAGCACTTTGCAGCTAAACAGCTTGTAAGAAACAACTTAAAAATGACGTGAAACCAGCAGCGGCCCGTTACTCTCATGATATGCTGCCCCACTCTCTCACCCCTCTCCCCTCTCCCCTCTGGTTACTCCCAGACTTTATGAGGGAAGTGACTTCATGCTCAATCCATTTGAGAGGCATGTGAGACTTGGCTGCTGCTCGGCTGCATGTCGGGAGTGATGTCAGCTTTCTGGACTGGTCACCGCTGATTAGAGCTCTCCAACGTAAAAAACAAACCTGCCTCGTCTCAGCTCACGACGACTGACGTGGTCTGGGAATATATTGTTATTTGGACAGTAAAAGAGATATTTGTTATATTGGGTGTAATGGAAAAGGAGTGTCTCAGATGTGGTAGCTAAGGAGTCATGATGGGACATTTAGCTGAAAAAATAAATCAAAAACAGACAAAGAAAGCAGAATTCTGCTCTTTAAAAACAATCAAAAACAGAAGCAGCTTTGATAGAATGATTGTCTGCATGCTGATGGCCAGCATCTGATCTTTACAATAATAAAACTGAGCATACTTCCTCATTCATGATCACGTGGATAACATACAAGATTATTTGTATCTGTTTGTCAATGACCATTATATTCTTTCATAAATATGTTATTTATAAGAGCAATAACAACATTTAGGCTGTTGGATACAGGGGCAGATATAAGGAGGATCCCTCCTGATGTGTAGAACCCAATGAAATGTTAAAACTGCACATTCATGGTCCCCAGAGGATGAATCCGTCTGACCTCCGTGATCATCTGACTTTTCATTCAGCACCACCATCAGTTCATATTAACATTTTTAATATGAGCAAATACCTGCAGAACTAATAACGTTTCCAACCTCGGCTGTACTCTTGTGTTTACTGCTAATTAGCGCAAGTTTTCATGCTGACATGCTAAACTAAAAATGGTAAATATGGTGAAGGGTATACCTGCATTTTATAACTTTTAGGACTTAATGATTTAACTAAGGATTATTATTTGTATTGTGAAGTTCATTTACCCTAAAAACTGAATAATCTGCTGAGTTAGAGACGTCTCTCTCTTAATTTAGGTCTATGGGGGAAAGTCTTTTTTGGGGCCCTATGGCATCACACGATGGACACGGAAATTGTAATTCCCCAGTTTGGGCAGAATGTAAAATTAGCTTCAGAGCCTGGCCCTCTTCCTGGGGGCTTGTAGTGAGCATGTTAGCATGCTAACATTAGCATTCAGCACCTCGTGCAGGGCTGCAGACTCTTAAGTCTCGTTGCTTGATGGTCGTGTATCTTTAAAACTGTTTTTTGGTTTAAATTTCTAACTGTAAAGTCAAACCTCAGTGTTTCTGAAGCCTGTGTCACGAGGACAAAATGATACAAGTTTTGTTTTAATCTTGTTTGAATATCAGATATTACGTTTTGTGATCTCATGACTAAACGACCTCATTATCATTATGAGATAACAATAATCAATCAGCTGGTATTTGCTTAAGTTCTGTTCCAGTTCGTCTGCGATGTGGCTTCACTGACTGACGCTCATGAGGAGAATGGCAGCGGCACAAAGCACAGGCGCAAACTATTACCTTGGTATGTAGAGATGACGAGATGATTAAGCCGTGACCCTGAGATAACTGGAGTATGAACCAGCACGGGGCTATGAGGTCACAGTTTCCAGCTGTGACATCATCGCAAAAGCAGACTCAACTCATTGTTTTATGATGTCGAGATGAAAGAAGGGGG